TGTCTTCTGCTCAGTTTGGCTGCGGAGTCAAATGGCTGTAAATTTGCCGATTTTACCTACTTTTATCGCTAAACTTAGGTGTGCTTCAAAACTGAATTTGAATCTTTAGATGGTATTTAGAAATGGAATATTCTTGCAAAATTACAGCTTCCTAGCTTGTCCAGCTCGAAAACACTTCTTCGCCACAAATATTTTCGACATGCCTTTGTGTGAGACATATGCGCACGTGAGCGATAATTTTAGATTTAGAGAGTCGCACACAGGGTGGATTTAGAGAGTAGCACACAAAAGTCTTAGCTTCATAGCTTCCCCGGTGATGAGTTAAAAATGGATGACAAAAAACACTCCAAAAACACAACACATACATACAGACAACGTCTCGACAAAACGTACTTTTGCTCACTGTTGCAACGCAGTAGTGCCGTGCAGTAAAAACGCAAAAAAACAGTCCAAGTCACAATTCAGGAACAGGTTGGCCTCTTTCAGGTAAATAGTGTGCCGAAGAAACTCAGTATATTAAAATTTGTGATTCATGTGGTTTAGCAAAGTCAGGTATATAGCTGATAAAGAAAAAATTAAGTCTTATCATTCTGCGACCAGTGAAGGCGATGAAAATTCGGACGAAGGATATCAAGTTTAATCGGACGGCAAAGGATTCAGCTGAGATGCGCTGAACTGTGGTGAAAAGTGATGAGTTAAAACAGAAGCTAGATAGTAATGAAATTCATTTTGACCAAATATCATTAAATTTTGGTATTCTCTCTTTCAACTTTCTTGGTTCCCCGGAACACCTGAATACACGCTACAGCTTAATATATTAAATTTTGAACATACCAACGCCCCAAGCAAACGGTATGGTGTATAAGATATACATCCAGTACTGCGTCAATAACGGCACCAAACAAGTCGCCACGCCACCAACGATCACTGCAATATTGTGCACAACCAGAGCATCAACACTTGGAAGATCAGATATTAGTCTGAAATTGACGAAAAAAGTAGTAGATCAGTAGGAAGAGTCGACCATGAAATAGTGGAATAGACAAACCCACAAAATATTCGACCAATGATATTCACAAGACCCATTGACAGCACTAAGTATGATTGCTGTGCTGGTGTTGCACCCACCAAACTTGCCTGAAATCGGTTTAATTCCGATATCAGCAGGATGGCCAAGATATTGTTATTGTTGGATTTTAGCGCAGTTTTGTAAGGCCCATTCGTTTTTCACTTGTTTTCAGTTGTCCTTTTCACTTCGTACGCGCATGATCAGTCCAAAGGTCATTCAAATGGTAATTTTCTATCACATATAGCACTAGGTGCCGTTAAGTAACATCTAACAAATATAACAGAGCAATCTGTTAGTTTCTGTAATGTAAAGAGCGAAAGATTTTAACAGTTTGTTGAAAAGCTGGTTTTTTTGTATTCAAAAAAAATGGCAAATTTTTTCAATTGGTTTTTGCTACTTTGAAAAAACGACAAATTTTTTAAATTATTTTTTTGCTCAGTGGACTTTAAATTTATGAAAGTGCTCTTTAAAAAGCATTTGCTTGGTTCGGCCTAAGAAACTAGCAACAGAAACCTGTTTGCCAAGGAAAATGAATGGAACGAAAAGGCAGCAAAGTGTAAGGAAGCCAGTAACTGCAATCAACAAGAAGCTTGGATTTTTCAGCAAACTTGTATCAACCATTGATCGCAAAATCTGCAAAATATTTTCTTTATACTACTTGATACTATCATCTCCATGCTTCATTGTTTACTTTTTCATTTCTGTTGCTTATCATTTAAAACCACGGTTTGGCACAAAGACCAGCAGACGCGCCCTATTGGGGCACCAAACCTGACTGGAAACTGTAATTAGATGACCAGGTCATCTAAACCTTGTCTGGTGGCAAAGTGCTCCTGGTATTCTGAACACTCAAACTGCCTTCGTTCTCCTCAGGCATAATTTTAGAGACAGAACAACTGGCATCTGGTAGTAAAAGCAAAATTCCCTGAGCTTTAGATGATGCGCTCGACTCAGATAAAAGAAAAAAAAAA